TATAAGGCACCTGGGGCTGAGGATGGCCGTGCCGGCTCACCGCGCTGCGGGTAGTGGGGAGAACAGCATTTCCCTCAAAAATTAGAGGCTTAAACCCGCTGAGGAGGGAAGAGGCTGAAGACCCGAGAAGTCACTCTTTTTGAGGAAGCTGACGCGGGAACATAAGGTCTTTCATAACATCCTTCGTTTGTTAAAACATGACCTCACCCATCGTTTAAAATTACCTTAAAGTATTGCCTTTCCACGAATACACAGATTTTTCAGCTGAGGGCAAAGTGTGGTAGTCGGGGAGCCTGTTTGTCCTGCTGGTGTTTGGTCGGCTCAGCGGATGAGATTTCTCTGGCTGTCAGCGGGAGGAATGGGAGATCAAGCATTCTAATTTTGCTGGGAGAGCATCTAACTAGTTGTCTGTGTGTTCATTGTTTTTCTCCATATTTTGAAGCACAGGTAGGGGTGGGGCAGCGGCATCAAAGCCCCAGCTCCCCTCCACCGGCTTCCATGCACCGCACCCACCAATCAACACCCACCGACCCGCGACGGACATGTCGCCAGGAAGGTCTACCACATGAACTCACAGGCCCGTCTCCGGGGCACCACGCAGGCCTTGCATCTTCACAGAGTGGCGCCACTGGCTTCCTTTCTCATGACAGAGCCGAGGGGATGCGTTCTGCCCAATGCCAGCCACGCCTCGGAAGTGCTAGGAGTGGCTTCCCCAGTACTGTTCTACCCGTCACAGCCACACTCATCTCAAGACAACATTTACAAAAATGTGTTTTTATTGATTTCAGAGAGAGAGAGAGAGAGAGAGAAACATCAATGATGAGAGAATCATCGATTGGCTACCTCTTGCACGCACCACACTGGGAATGGAGCCTGCAACCTGGGCATGTGCCCTGGCTGGGAACTGAACTGTGACCTCCTGGTTCATAGGTCGACCCTCAACCACTGAGCCACGCCTGCTGTCCACTTCGTGTTGTTCCTGCTGATTTCCTTTTTTTGCTTCAAAGTCCCTTCTACAGAGATGAGGCCCAAACCAGTGACCCTCTTGTTCTAAACATCAGCTGGTGCGTTCAGCTGCCCTCTGGAGCCTGCTTTCACAGCTTCTTCGGCTGAACTTGTCCGAAGCTCGCTCTCTCTGTGTGTGTCCCTGAACTCTGCTGTCTTCCCTATGTCCCACCACGGTTACTGGCACTGTGTGCACCATGAAATCTCGCGTGTGGAGAAGCGTCAACACAGCAAACCTGGAGCTGCTCACCTTAGAGCAGGGGTTGGCAAACTGCGGCTCCCAAGCCACATGCAGCTCAAGAGCTGCCGTTTGCCGCTCCGTTGACTAAAGAGTTTGCTGACCACTGCCTTAGGGAAAAACACCTAAAAACCATTTTAATAAAGTACTAATGTCTTTAACCTGAAGTCAAAACTTCTGGGTAATGCCTGACAGCAGCGGTCGGCAAACTCATTAGTCAACAGAGCGCAAACCGCAGCCCAGGAGCCGCCTGTGGCTCGAGAGCCGCAGTCTGCCGACCCCTGCCTTAGAGATTCTTGCCAGGAGGTCAGCTGTCAGCTGGCATCTGGGGACTCGCTGTCACACTCCCTCTGAATGGTAAAGGCTCACTGAGCCCCAGTTGTTTACAAGCGATGTGGACTGTGCCGAATGCCTGGAAGTCTGGGATTTTGGCAAATGCCAGGCAGTGGGTGCCTGAGACCAGTTCTTCACGAAAAGCCTGGGTGAGTCTCTGTGGCGGTTCCCCAGGGGGCAGCACTTGGCGAGGCTGTCACAACTCTTGAGAGCAAGGAAGCTCGTCCAGTGACTCCGAGGGAGGACTCAGAGGCCTGCACTGCTTCCTGTCGTCATCCATTTCCCTTCCACATCCTGACCTCTCCACCACAAATGTACCGCTAACTGCAGGATGAGCTCTCGGGGTCCTCCCAGCCAATCAGCAAAACGAGGGGCGGTCTTAGGGTCTCCTGACGTCCTTAGAATAATTCCAGCTCTCCTCTTCCCCTCGCTCTCCATGTTCAATTGATCAACTATTTCTTAGCTCTGCCTCTATCCATTTTGAAAAACATGTCTATTCTCCACCCGTACTGCCTCCATGCTGCAACTTTCTCCCCCGACTTCCCACACTCAACGCAGCAAAACAATGATGAGTTTCCATTTGTATTGTCTTCTGTGCCTCTCCTGGGGATTTTTTGTCTGAATAAAAAACCTCCTGGCGCCATGACAAAAATTATCCACAGTAGAAATAATGAAATCGTAGGTCTATAAGGAACATAGAGCTTACAGAGCTGAATCGTTAATTCTAAAATTCCATTTTATTAAAAATCTCAGAGATACCTTCGGATTGAACACACACAGGGAAAAGCAGCAAAGGCAAACCGGGTAGTCTATGAACTTTACTTTGAATTGTAATTGGGAGTATTTCATCAAACAAATGGACATATGAAAACTTCTGTGGTTGAACTGAGCAAATGCCTCATGTAGGAATTGATAGTTCTAAGAGCTCAATGAACTGGGAGTTAGATGAACATAAAACAAGAACCATCTACCTGTGTGCAAATAAATGCAATTTAACCTAAAAAAATTTTTTTTTAGAAGTTCACACCTGAAATCTTTATTATTTTATTAACCAACTACAGGCCCGGTGCACAAAATCCATACATGGGGGGATGGTTGGTCCCCTCAGCCCAGCCTACACCCTCTTCAATCCGAAACCCACCTTGGGGGATATCCGACTGCTGGTTTAGGCCCAATCCCAGGAATCAGGCCTAAATAGGCAGTCAGACATCATTTTCACAATCCTGGACCAGTGGCTCCTAATCACTCACCTGCCTGCCTGGTCCACCCCAACTGCCCTCCTCTGCCAGCCTAATTGCTCCAACTACCCTTCCCCCCCGCCCCAGCTGGCCTGGTTGCCCCCAAATGCACCCCCTGACACTGGCCTGGTCACCCCCAACTGCCTCTCCTGCTGGCCTGGTTGCCTCCAACTAACCCCACCACCACTGCCTGGTTGCCCCTCATGGCCCCCTGCTGGCCTGGTCGCCCCACGCAGTCTGCTTGTTCAGTTGTTTGGTTGTCCCTCACTAACTCCCCTGCTGGCCTGGTCATAGGCAGCCATCTTGTAAGAATGTGAGGGTCAATTTGCATATTACTTCTTTATTATATAGGATGTCACCCAGTAAGTTCAATGAAAAGTAATCCATTTGCCTGTTATCAACCTATGAAACAAGAGATCAGAGTTTGATTCCCAGTCTTGGGTGAGTGATTTAGAGAATCATATTCCCTGCTGTGGGTAATATAATCTGATCTAGACCACATGTGAGCCTTCTAAACTAGAGACCTCTCGCCTACAGTTAGAGGCCTCCTTTAATATTGTTAATGCTACTAGATTCATTTTAATGGCCCTGATATTGATCAAGAGCATTATCCACATAAAATGATCTAATAAAAAGGCCAAGGAAAACAAGTCTCAGTGGAAAAAAAACAAAAACAAAAAACAACATTAAGTTTGTGACTTCAATGCATTTTTGTCTTTTGGAAATTTGTTATCAGTCCCCATAAAACTTTGGATTTAGGTCAGTGATGATCAACCATTTTTGGCTTAAGGGCTCTAACGAAGGCAAAAAATATTAAAAATCTAAGGCCACATTATTTTCCTCTTCAAAATAAATATTGCTTTATGAAATTCCCGTGCGGGGAAGTAATTGCACAACTTTGCAGAGTGGAAGAAAGTAAGGAACCTGGTGCTGCTTTGCAGCTACTAGATATTAATATTCGGGGCTCAGCAATCCAGACGAAGCCTTCTGAGTTTCTATCCTGACGTGAGACGGCAGGCGTGCTGCGTAGCCGGTCAGGCTGTGGGTTGCTCATTGCTGACTTTGCTTGTGAGAATGATCAGAATAAGCCAATATCTGTTGGTTATGTTATTAATCATAACAAACTTTAAGAGGATATCTTCTAATTTCAAAATTGTACTCCATTGTTGACTGATTTAAGGAAAATGCTTTTAATAGTACAGCAAGTTGGTTATAAAAAACTCCTGGGGTTACATGTCCCTCCGTGTGAACATGTATTTACACAGGACACTGGCTGGACACAGAGCAGAACAGGAGCCAGAGAACCAAAGATGTGTTTCTAAGCCACAGAAACACGCGTGTTCGTCACGGTAGGTTACAGCGAGAAGGGTAGCTTGTGTCTGTGCGAGGAGGCACCGACCGAGGCATATAGACACCACTGGTGAGAAAGTGCACCGAGTATGAATGCTGACGCCAGTCTCCGAGGATAATTCGATAAAACCCAGGGCTCCTTCTCGGGGTCCATCAGCTCAAGAACATGCATAGAGGAACACCTACTACCTACGAACAACAGGCTTTTATTACTTCTAGACCTGCTATAGTAATAGCGACGCATTGTACTTGCACATTTCCCATTTTATCCAAGGACCGAAAAGCCACTGGACCAAGCAGTGCGATGTGAGGGCTCCAGATTCCAAGCCTGTTAATGGCCCAGGAAACAGAGTCACAAAAATATAACCAACGTAAAAGCTCAAAGAAGCGTGCACACACACACACACACACACATACACACACACAAACCCGTCCTGTGGTCTGTGATTTTCTGGATTTCCGAGTGTGCCACTTGCATCTGGCTCTTCCTACAATATGGACTCCAGGTACAAATGGCTTTTACATGTTAGGAATCAGACGAGGATCAACTCACACTGTGAACACTCTGTCTCTTGTGTCCAACAGCCCACCTCTGACTTCTTAATAATGCAAGTTCAGCCGAAACCGGTTTGGCTCAGTGGATAGAGCGTCAGCCTGCAGCCTGAAAGGTCCCAGGTTCGATTCCGGTCAAGGGCATGTACCTTGGCTGCAGGCACATCCCCAGTAGGGGGTGTGCAGGAGGCAGCTGATCCATGTTTCTAACTCTCTATCCTTCCCCTTCCTCTCTGTAAAAAAAAATCAATAGAATATATTAAAAATAAATAAATAAATAATGCAAGTTCACATGTCAGGTCTCTGAGACCATGGCTGTGACCCTGGGGTAGGAGGTCATTTTATATGGGGATGACATACATGCATGCGTGTACGGTGTCACGGAGCTACACATGTTAGCACACTTCCATGGAACACGAAAGCTAGAGGGCACGAGTTCATTGGAGGCCAGACCTGTGGTCTCTCAAAGGCTTTCTGTCTCTTTGTCTTTTTACTTACAGCTCTGCGGAGGTTTAACAATCAGGGTTGAACCGAGAGGCCCGAGTGAGTCCAGTTTAAGACGAGTTTCTGCGGAGCCCAAGACCCTGCCGGGCCCGCAGGAGGGGGCTGCCGGCCGCAGGAGCCACCGTGTGAGGAGGGAGCCCCGAGCTGTGCTTCCGGCTCCAGGCACGGCTCTTCGTGGCCGGGAACCTGGGCGGGCACCCGGGGCCTCGTCTGCTTCGGAGAGCCTCGGCGGCTCTGCTGGAGAGAGTGTCTAGGGCGCAGGTGGTGCTGGTTTCTCCTCAGTCAAATATGCAGCTGAGGTAGCTCCTCCTGTGCCGGCCTTGGCCTCCGAGGAGGCTCAGGATGCGCTCGTTTTGGGTGAGTTCTGCTGGGAGCTGGTTGGCCTGGGAGAAGGTGAGACAGGCGTGAGCGACTCCACCGCTGGGGTGGTTTCAGGAGCTCCAAAGAGTGGGAGCCCTCCTCCTCTGACCCCAACCTGCTTCTTTCCTGGTGAAAACCCCACGGCACTCTGCTGGGCGCCCAGCCTAAAGGTCTCTCTGGGATACCCAGCGTGCCTCTCACCAGACTGCCCTCCTGGACGCCAGGGCCCCTGCTTCTTGGTTGTGTGTTCCTGTTTCCAGCGCAAACTCCGTGTGCTTAGCATGTGCTCCACAAACACCGGTGTGTGCCTCGGAGGGCCCGCACACAGGTTCACGGCTCTGGGGCCCCGGCCGGCAGGTGCTGTGCTCACTGGAACCCCCACAACCACCTGCGCCACCTGAGATCCCAGAGGCACAGCCTTCTCAGCTTCTATAAGGTCCTAATGCCCCCGCCCCCAAACCCGCCCCTTCATTCAGCCCTGGAGGGCTGAGTCACAGGACGCTACTCCCTTTGGGACGTCCCTGTCCAAGGTCTAAAGATAAGACAGCGGCTTTATCACAGAAGAGCTGTGCCCGGTGCCTGAAGCACAGCTCAGGGCTCCCTCTTCACACAGCACGCTCACACGCCAGGCCGACCAGTGGAACCAATCTCAGCATCTCGGGAAGAGATAAGCAGAGCCCAGGGGTCAGTGGCAGGAACGAGGAAATGGCTCCAGGGTTGAGAGGAGAGGAGACGACTCTCGGCCAGTGGTTCCTAGTACTGCCTCCCATTTCCTTCTCAAAGGGCCCTGAGGGCTCCTGGCTTGTTTTCCTTATTAATGAGTCAGACCCAGTAGCAGGGGCCGATAGAAATTCCAAAGGGCGTTCCACCATCCCCCTCCCTCCTTCAGTGTGGCTCAGCACTGTCCTGGGCACCACAGGTGGCCGGTTCGATTCCCAGGCAGGGCAGTACCTGGGTGGCGGGCGGGTTCCATCTTGTTAAGGCAGAAACGGAAGGCAACCATTGATGTTTCTCTCTCTAAAAATAAACTTAAAGATCTTAGAACAAAAAACAAAAGTCAGCAGTGCAGTGTGCCTTCTCAGACCTGTCCTAGGCCCCTGCCCCCACCCACCCCGCCCATTGGGCAGCTTATGAAGAAGGTGAATACGAAGAAATATGACAACACCTGTGTTTTTCTTCGGCTACCGTGCACCTTCCACCTCCAGAGGTGGCCTGACTAAGCCAGAGAGTCTGAGTGGTTCTGAAACAGGGAGGTGGAGTCCCGTTCATGGCACCAAGGGGACCGGGGTCCTCGGCTCACGGCCATCCGGCCTCCGGGGCGGCAATAACAACCAGACTCGGGCATGTCCAGGCACTTCGAGGATGACAGGACACTCAGAACCCTGCCCTGCCCCCTGGCCGTCCCCTCCCCCATTGCCTCCCTGCCCCTGGATCGCACCCTTGTTAGCCGAAACCCACGAGGATACAGGGTTTGAGAGTAATTCTCTGGGTCCAGCCTGGCCGGCGTGGTTCGTGGTTGAGCGTCGACCTATGAACCAGGAGGTCCCAGTTCGAGCCCCAGTCAAGGGCCCATGTCCAGTGCAGGAGGCAGCCCACCGATGATTCTCTCTCATCATAGATGTTTCTGTCTCTCCCTCCCGCTTCCTCTCCGACAACAGAAAACATACATTTAGTGTAATTCTCTGGCTCCAAAGGTACTGCTTACCCACAACCCCATGACGGCCTTGCCTGCCGTTACCAGGCAGAAGTACGGAGAGAGTGAGTGACAGGAGCCGGAGAGGTGGTGCCTGACCGGGGAGAGACGCTGAGGCAGGCCGTACCTGGTTCCTCAGGGCCGGGTCCGCCCCTGCCTCCAGGAGCAGCGCGACGGTTTTGATGTTCCCGCTGAGCACTGCGGCGTGGAGCGCCGATGTCCCGTTCTGAGAGGAAAGACCGGGGTCAGGAGTGACTCAGCGGCAGCAGGGACCGGCCGAGGGAGGAGACGGCCCCTCACGCTCCCTCTCAGAGCCACGGCACCTCTGACAGCCTGTCCACAGGTGCACGGCCGCCGGTCAGAGTAAGTGCTGCCAACGCTCTTTTCTTAAAAAAAGAAAAATAGCCCTGGCCGGTGTGGCCCAGTGGGTAGAGCGCTGGCCTGTGAACTGAAAGGTCCCAGGTTCGACTCCAGTCAGGGCACGTCATGGAGCCGGGTTGTGGGCTCCATCCCCAGTGTGGGGCGTGCAGGAGGCAGCCGATCCACTATGATTCTCTCTCATCAGGGATGTTTCTATTTCCCTCTCCCTCTTCCTTCCTCTCTGCAATCAATAAATTTTTTTTAAATATATATTTTTTAATTGATTGCAGAGAAGGGAGAGGGAGAGAGAAACATCCACGATGAGAGAGAATCACGGACCAGCTGCCTCCTGCACGCCCCACCCTGGGGATGGAGCCCACACCCCGGGCCTGTGCCCTGACCGGAAATCGAACCGTGACCTCCTGGTGACCCCTGAGCCACCGGCCGGGCGAGAACAGACTCCTCCGCTCCCAGCCCCCTCTTCCACGCTGGCGACGTTCTCACCTTCAGAATGCCCAGGCTGGGGGAGAACTTGAGCAGCTCCTCGATGACCGCGTGGTAGCCCTTGTTGGCCGCCTTCAGCAGCGCCGTGGTGCCGTCCTTCCGAGACAGAAGACAGAGCGGGTCACCGCCAGCGTGGGCTGAGCGCGGGACCAGGCACGCCCCGCCCTGACCCCTGACCCCTGACCCCTGACCCCGGCGCCTCCGGGAGCACGCACAGCCGCCGATTCTGCTTAAAGGGGCCCGGCAGACCGGGGGCTTCTCACAGCACCCAGGGCCCTGCCAGGTGGGACTTCTCTCTCCCAGCCCTGGGAGCCCTGGGTGAGGGTGACGGACTGAAGGGCACCTCTGTAGCTCCTGACCCAGCAGGACTGTTTGCAGTGACTTAATTCCTGATCTGTTCTGGCTGTTCTAAGGGGTCAGAGGGGCTTTGCCTTTTGTCTTTTCTTGCCTGGGGGGGTGGGGCGCGGGGGGAGGGCTAGAGGAGGGAAGGGTAGATTGAAATCTATTAAAAAGAACACAAAGAGCCAAAACCAGTGTGGCTCAGTGGATCGAGCGTCGGCCTGCGGACTCAAGGGTCCCAGGTTCGATTCCAGTCAAGGGCATGTACCTTGGTTTCGGGCACATCCCCAGTGGGAGGTGTGCAGGAGGCAGCTGATAGATGTTTCTAACTATCCCTCTCCCTTCCTCTCTGTAAACAATCAATAAAATATATTTAAAAAAATAACGCAAAGACAAGCTGAAAGTTAACATCCACTCCTGTCGTCACTCGTTGGCCGAGAAGAGATTTCCCTGTTCATTTCCTCCCGCCTCAGCGAATCTGTGGTGGCCCGGGGAGGGCTTCCTCTGAGGAGAGGAACAGGCCGCCCACCAGCGCCCACGGCTCAGCTGGAGTCGGGAGGGAAGGGTTTTCCTTCTGGCTTCTGAGTCGTGGGGAGAGAAAGAGGGGGAGAGGGGAGTGAAGGGGCCAGGAGTGCCCCTCCGATTCCTCTTTCTGGGGTCAGACTGGGAAAGAGGGGGTCCCAGAAGCAGGAGCCTGCTGAGGGCACGGAGGCCAGACACTAGAACAAGAAAAACAGCGAGCAGCAAGCCGCCTCAGTTCCTATGGGGAGGCCTGCTGGGAGCCGGGGACACAGGCTCTGTGGCTGGGAGCTGAGCGAGAGGCGGGGTCAGCCTGGAGCCCTGAGGGACCCCAAACCACAGGCACCCAGCCGGGCCAGCTGCCCTTTGGTAAGTGCCAGCCGGAGGCGCGGTGCCCCCGGAAAAGCAGCGGCCGGGGACACACCCCAGGAGCCGGGGCCCAGGCTCCCCCGCCCCCCTCCCACCCTGTCCAGAGTCTGCGCAGGGCGGGAAGCATCCTGGAGGAAGCACACAGCTTGTTCTGTTTTCCGCAGAGAGCCGAGTGGCCTAAGCGGCACTGTTAGTTTCCGGCTAAAGAGCAGGTGGAGGCGCAGAGAACGCCCAGCTGGGTGCAGACCCAGCACAGCCGCTGTCTCCGTCTAGGCTGCCAGGCTGGGGCCTCGGCGTGCATTTCCCCTGGTCTCACCCCTCGGCCCCCTGCCCCGTGCATGCATCACCGCCCCCCGGCCCCCGGCCCCGTGCATGCATCACCGCCCCCGGCCCCCGGCCCCCGCCCCGTGCATGCATCACCGCCCCCCGGCCCCCGGCCCCGTGCATGCATCCCCGCCCCCGGCCCCCGGCCCCCGGCCCCGTGCATGCATCATCGCCCCCGGCCCCCGGCCCCCGGCCCCCGGCCCCCGGCCCCGTGCATGCATCACCGCCCCCGGCCCCCGGCCCCGTAGCGTGCGTCTCCCAGGCCGCGCTGGCAGCTGCCACGCAGACTCACGTCCCGTTCGGCGTCACGCTCGGCTCCCCGCAGCAGCATCACCCTCACCACCTCACTGTGGCCCATCTGTGACGCGATCCACAGCGGAGCTGTCCCATCCTGTAGCAGAGATCCACAGGGCATCCACAGGGCATCCACACGGCAGCCACATGGCAGCCCCACAGCAGCCACACTGCAGTCACGTGGCCTTCACACGGCAGCCACATGGCAGCCACACGGCAGCCACATGGCGACCACATGGCAGCCACACTGCAGTCACGTGGCCTTCACACGGCAGCCACATGGCAGCCACACGGCAGCCACACAGCATCCACACGGCAGCCACATGGCGTCCACGTGGCAGCCACACGGCAGCCACACGCATCGTGATGTCACCAGTGGAGGCCGGCAGGGTTGGCAGTGGGGAGCCAGGCCGTCTCGGTCACCGGGGCGGGTACTCAGGGATGGCAGGCTGGCCCAGTGGCACAGGGAGGAGACACCCCTCCACGCCAGGGGACGGCTGAGCCCCAAGAACGAGGCCGCTTTGGAGAGAAGGGCAGAGGAGGGAGGGGACCCAGGACTGCCACCCTGAGGCAGGTGAGATAACGTGGCCGCGGCGGAGGCTGCAGTCAGATAAGGCTGAGTTCCTCCTCGGTGGGGAGTGGGCTGAGAGCCGGGAGACTCAGCTAGGACACACGGCCATTTCCTGCCCGAGGAGGGACGCCACTCCCTCTGCTCACTGCTGTGCGGCAAAGGGACGGGGCAGCGGCGTTGGAGCCCAGAGGACCCTGGGCATTGGGTAGGAGGACCCGGCTCCTCTGAGTCTTGCAGAGACGAGGGGAAGAGGGCTGAGATGTGGAAGGGTCTGAAACACCTGCCCTCTCCACCCCCCAACCTGAGCGCTGAGCACCGTTAGCAATGCCAACACACCCTCATCGGCACTTTGTTACTGAGTACGTCTCACCCGTACCTAACGGACCCCCAGCTCAGGAGCATCGTTCACTCTCTCATCTAACCCCTGCAGTTCTACGTATCTTCCGAGTCCCCGCAGCCTGAGCTAAAAACAACACACGACTGCCCCTCGGAGGGACCGATGAACCAGGATTCCGGTCAGGTACAGGCATGGGCTATGCAGGAGGCAGCGACCCATGGTTCTCTCCCATCACTGGTGCCGCTCCCTCTCCCTTCCTCGCTGAAGTCCTTAAAACATTAAAAATAAGACGTGATCGCTGCTCTGGAAGGAGCCGAGCCAGTGCAGAGGCGATGGATCGGAGCCTGGCCTCAGGGCTCCAGTGGAGCAGACACAGAGCCCCATGGACCTGAGAGGGCCTCTCCTGGTGTGGATTACCGGTCAGCTTCCAGCCGGGGCGCTGGTGTCTGAGCTGGGTTTTGGAGGGGGACTAGGGTTTTGCCAGGTGAGGCGACAAGGGAACCCATGTGGACGGAACATTTCCGGTCCCAGTGGCCTGGGCAGGAGTTCGGGCTCAGGCAGGTGGGCAGTCCAGATGGCAAGGCCCAAAGGGCGCGGGTGTAGCCCGAAGAGTGTGGTGTGGCCCAGGGGAGTGGGTGTGGGCAGGGCCTGAGGGCGTGGGCGGGGCCCGGGGGTGTGGGCGGAGCTGAGGGGAGTGGGTGTGGCCCAAGGGGAGTGGGAGGGGTCCGAGGGGTGTGGTGTGGCCCAAGGGGCATGGGTGTGGCCTGGAAAATGTGGGTGTGGCCCGAGAGGCCTGGGTGTGAGCGGGGCTGAGGTGTGGTGGGGCCTGAGGGGCGTGGGCGGGCCCTGAGGGATGTGGGTGTGGTCCAACGATTGTGGGCGGGGTCTGGGGAGTGGGCGTCACCCGAGGGGGTGGACGGGGCCCGAGAGATGGGCGGGCCTGAGGGTGGGTGGGGCCCAGGGGAGTGGGTGGGGCCTGAGGGTAGTGGGCGGGGCCAGGCCGTGCGCAGGGCTGGGAGGTGGAGCAGGTGTCTGGGCTCCAGGGAGGGTTCCAGCCTCACCAGTGGTGCCTTCTCCCTCCCCATCCGTTGTGGCTCACTGCTCTTTGCGGATGTCGCCACCAGGGGGCAGCCAAGGAAAGGCTATGAGGCCTTGGGTGCTTTCCAAGGGCTTTTCAGTAAAACGCTATTAATTGGCACTAAGGCTCACAGAAGAGAGGTGCAGAGAGCTGCCCTGCTGGGAATGACTGGGAACATCACACAGCGACGCCAGCAGCTGTCGCCACAGGCAACAGCCACAGGGGGAAGGCCACCCTTCCTGGCCAAGGCCTCGGTGTCGGCCTACGAAACTGAGAGCCTCACAGACATTCCTGGGGGATAGACAGGACGGGGCCAGTCTGACCCGGCCAGACGGCCTTTTTTATAAGCTCTCGGCTGGTACAGTGGTTACCTGTGGGGCACAGAGGGCATCCTGGGGTGAGTGTCCCAGGAAAAGGAAAGATTCTGTCCCCCCAAAGCAATTCCTGTGCTATAAACACCGGTTCCTTTCGGAGCGGGACTCACAACTCCAGTCACATCGGACACAATCCTGGAAAGGGCAGTGGCTTGCCCCTCGACCCCAGGCGTCCCCTCTTAAACGAGGCCGTCCACTGAGCCGGTCACCTCCCCTCTGGGGTGCCCTGGCTGCCACAGCCACGTGAGTCCCTCAGAACTCCCGGGTTCCGTGTCATCGGCACAGGACAATCCATGCAGCACATGAAGTATAACCTTATACCAATGTGGCTTTTTACAGACGGTGCCTTAGGCATGTGAATAATATGATTTACTTTACAAATAGATTTCTCAAAACACCAGAAATTATTTTAGTAGGAGGTTCAGAGGAAGACTTGACCATCTCTCATTTCTAAATTCACAGGGGCCTCCTCCGTAGTGACCTCCTAACCTATGCCATCTGAAAACAGCCAGTCTTTTTTTTATTTTGTAAAATTAGGCCTCTCATTCAGAGTCAAGCAACAATTTCAAAATAAGAAGGACCAACAAGAAAATATTAAACTCTGATCCCCAAATGTCAATTCTGACAGGAACAGAAGAGCAACTTTTTCTAAAAGTGTCCTTCCCTGGAAATATTCCTGAGGCCATCGGAGCTAAGAATATCTTTAAGATTCTGAAGATACAACCTCACGTTTATAACAAGGTCTGGCACTTGTTAAGTTCTCACGAAATACTGACTGCCCATGGAATAAGACAGCCACAAAATACCGGGAGCTTGTGCCCTGGCCGGTGTGGCTCTGTTGGCTGGAGCATCACCCCATATACTAAAGGCGGTGGGTTCAATTCCCAGTTAGGGAACGGACCTAGGTCGTGGGTTCGATCCCCACTCGGGGGACCTGCTAGAGGCAACCAACTGATATTTCTCTATCACATTGATATTTCCCTCCCCGCCCCTCCCCAATGTTAAAAAATTAAATAAAAAGGTGGGGCACGTGGAGAGATCGTCAGGATCCCACCCAGCCCCCTACATTTCATGAGGGACAGGAGGTCAGAGAGGCCGGCTCACATGTGCAAACCGCACAGGCAGTGACTGCAGGGCCAGATCTGGAACTCAGGATTCCTGACCTCAGACCCACTTTGCCCAAAGCCCCTTTCTTTTCTCGGGCTCCTTTGGCACCTGGACTCCTCTGGACCGAAGAAGCCGGAGGTCAAGACCTTGGACCAACCTGAAGGCCTGAAGGCTCCCCTAGCTCTTCCTCACGGAATGGCAGGTCTCACTGCTGTGGGGAGCGCGGCGCGACCCCATCTGAGAAGAAACCAGCTTGACTTTCCCCTAAAACTGCAGTTAAAGTCACGGCACCGTACCCGGAAGTGTTCTGTTAAAAACAAGTTAATCAGTGAGGGGGCAGTTCCCCTGTGAGAGCAGCTGATCGCAATGCCTCACTGTGGACGGTCCGCCACACTCAGAGGGCGACCTGCGTTGCCTGGCAGTTCTGTTCTTTTACGTATCACGTAGCTGATTTACCGGCTGTTGACGAAAGAAGTCTCAATAGCGTTGGGATTGTGAGGGATGGGGGTGCGGGACCCGCCAGGGACTGCACTGGGCCCCCTGTGGTCGGCAAAGGCAGTGAGGGAGGGGGAGAGAAGACAGCACCTGGGGAGGGCCTGGGTGGGTACCAGCCACCTGAGCCCCCGTCCACCTGCGCCGGGCAGCCCTCGCTCACCGCACCCCCTCGGAGCCGCTGCCTTAACCTGGAGAGGCTGCGGCAGACTGTGCACCAGACCTCAGACACCCACACCACGTGTGAACACGTCCGTGGTGACGTCGGCCTGGCTCCGGGGGAGCCCAGAGCAGAGAACGGGAGGAACCCTGAGCACAGGCGGGCGGTGCCAGGAAGCCCGGGTGGGAAGGCACCCAGAGGTGACCGGCCTCTGGGGGACACCCGCCGAGAGCTGCCCCCCGGCCCGGCCCCAGCACCCCGACATTACCTGCCTCGGCTGGTTGACTCTCGCTCCGGACGACAGCAGCAGCCGAGTGACGTCCAGGTAGCCGCCCTGGGCAGCCAGGAAGAGGGCAGTGGCTCCATCCTGCGGGCAGCAAGGGGGAGGGTCAGAGGGCACCTCCATGTTTGCTCGGAAAGAAATCACCTTTGAAACTCATGCACTTAATACGGTTTCCCCTTCCACCCCGTGGTCCGCACGCACAGTTAGCGCGTTATCTTTGGAGAAGGGTTCTGAGAGGTCACACGGAGTCGCACAAAAAGGCAAAGGTCAAGAGAGAGCTTCCGGGGGAGGGATGATGTCTGCGACCTCCAACTGCACACGGTCCCGAGACCAGAGCTGCTGACACCATGAGCCTGGTGGTGGCCAGGTCTCCCCGACACACAGCCCGCCTCTTCTCGTCCACACAGACCTGCTGGCTGCTCTGTGTGGCGTGATCTGAGACCACCCACGTTTTACTTCATTTATTTAAAAATGTATTTTTATTGATTTCAGAGAGGTAGAGAGAGGGAGATAGAAACATCCATGATGGCAGAATCATGGACCGGCTGCCTCCTGCACGCCCCCTACTGGGATGGAGCCCACAACCCGGGCAGGAGCCCCAACTACGAATCACACACTGGTTCAAACCATGTTTCTCCGAAAATAAGACATCCTCCGAAAATAAGACCTATTACAGGTTTCCTTCTGAGTGAAATATAAGGCATCCCCCCGAAAATAAGGCCTATCTCCAGACTCTTGATATTGCAATAAACAAGCCATTCAAAGACAATTTGCACATGGAAATTAATGACTACATTGAAAATAGAATGGAGAGACATCAGCGTGGAAACTTTGTGGAACCTAAACTGCAAGAAGTTGTGACTTGGGTGAAGAATTCCTGGGAGAAAATCACTGACAGTTGCATTGCAAATGCACTGTGAGCAGGCTACCTTGACAAGAAGTACTCATTTAAAGACAGTGCTATTGCTAAACATGAGAGATTTGGTCCACTGATTCTGAAAGAAATGGAGTCACAAGAAATTCACCAGGAAATTCAGGAATTGGATTGTTATGATGATGTTCCAGAAGATGATGACATGATTGTCATTGAATAAATGAGTAAATTCTTGATAATGTAGGATTCACAGTTTGGTTTGTGTTGACAACTACCGTACTACCGTACCGTGTACAGGTAATAAATTTCCTTTATTTTCAATAAATGTGTACAGTATTCTTCTTCATGGAAAAATAAGACATCCCTGAAAATAAGACCTAGCGCATCTTTGGGAGCAAAAATTAATATAAGACACTGTCTTATTTTCGGGGAAACTGGGTAGGTCGCTCACTCACCGAGCCACGCCGGCCAGGCCGTTGGTTACCTCTATCCCGAGTGGAAACACCTGGCTCACCGGCTCATCCCCCCCCCCCCCAGGGGCACAAGCCACAGGTGCAAACACGGAGCACCCTCCCTCCCTCCAGCCCAGCCACACCGCGGTGCGGAGCTAACCGTGCCAACGCCGGAAGGCTGTCCCAATGGAAAGGCTCACACCCACACGCTCATCACACGCGTGTGAGAGCACACGGTGCCCCGGGCGTGAGGGCCAGGTGTCTGGTGGGAGGAGGGCCAGGAATGTGTCCTAGATGCTGCCACTCCTCAGGGTCGTCCTCAGCCATGCCCTCTCCCGCCTTAGTTTTTCCTACAAAACAGATCGCATTTGCCACAAACCCTGTGGGATCACAGTGACCACCAACGAAGAGTGCTTGGAGGTGTGCGAACCGCCGATCGCCACCAGCAGGCCAGCACGGCCGGGGCTGCCTTCCAAAGGGCCAGGTCTCCATCCACCGGCCTCACCTCTTTCCCCAATAACCTGGTTTCTTTTTTAAAAAAATGTATTTTATTGACTGCAGAGAGGGAGGGAGCAGGAGAGAGAGAGAAGCATCAATGACGACAGAATCACCAATCGGCTGCCTCCTGCTCACCCAATACTGGGGATCCAGCCCAAAATCCCAGCATGTGTCCGGACCAGAATTCGAACCATGACCTTGAACCATGACCTCCTGGTTCTTAGGTTAATGCTCAACTACTGAGCCACATCAGCCGGGCCCAATAACCTGACTTCTCCTTTTTGTGTGCTCTTTTTCCCAAATAAACCCACCACAGAATGTATTTTTGTTTCCGGCAAGTCCACAGGCTGGGCTTGTCATGTTGCAATGAGTATGGATCCCATGATTTTTGAAGATCCTAACGGCACAGAGATAGGAGATCCTTCATGTGTAAGAGGTTTAAAAGGGCAAAACAAAGGGGTGAATATGATTACGTGGCTTCTGCGCAGAAATGGTCATCGGGTAAACATGTGTTTTGTTCTTCTGTCTCAGACAAAGTCCCATTGCTCATGGACCTGCCCCTGGAGCTGCCCTCTCAGGCTGGGAGGGCCGGGGACGGGGGTGAGCGAGGGCGGCGGGGGGATGAGGGTGAGAGAGGCCGGGGGATGGGGGTGAGGGAGGCCGGGGGAGGGGGGTGAGGGAGGCGGGGGACAGGGTGAGGGAGGCGGGGGGACGGGGTGAGGGAGGCGGGGACGGGTGAGGGAGGCGGGGACGGGGTGAGGGAGGCGGGGATGGGGTGAGGGAGGCGGGGAACGGGGTGAGGGAGGGCGGGGGGGGGGGTGAGGGAGGCGGGGGGGAGGGTGGGGAGGCGGGAGGCGTGGGGACGGGGTGAGGGAGGGGGGCGGGGTCGGGGTGAGGGAGGCGGGGGGTCGGGGGTGAGGGAGGCGGGGACGGGGTGAGGGAGGCGGGGGGACGGGGTGAGGGAGGCGGGGACGGGTGAGGGAGGCGGGGGAGGGGAGGGAGGCGGGGACGGGGGTGAGGGAGGCGGGGGACGGGGTGAGGGAGGCGGGGACGGGGTGAGGGAGGCGGGGACGGGGTGAGGGAGGCGGGGGACAGGGTGAGGGAGGCGGGGATGAGGGTGAGGGAGGCGGGGGACGGGGTGAGGGAGGCGGGGACGGGGTGAGGGAGGCGGGGGGACGGGGTGAGGGAGGCGGGGATGAGGGTGAGGGAGGCGGGGATGGGGTGAGGGAGGCGGGGGACGGGGTGAGGGAGGCGGGGGACGGGGTGAGGGAGGCGGGGATGAGGGTGAGGGAGGCCGGGGGACAGGGGTGAGGGAGGCGGAGGGACGGGTGAGGGAGGCAGGGACACTCACGTAGAGCTGGTCGTGGATGTTGGCGCCGTGCCTCAGGAGGGTGTCCACCACCTGCCGGTGCCCGCACTGGCTGGCGGCCAGTAGGGCCGTGCCCCCGTCCTGCGGGCACACAACGCACAGGCTTTAGAAGCGGCGCGGGCCCACGCACACCCACGCTGCTCCCCTCAGGCGAGAGCTCGGGAGGATAACTTTCCAAGATGACACCCAGCTCACCTTCCTCGCTGGCCCCTCCCCGTTCCTTTGTATTTTTGGTTCATCCCCACAAGGGTATTTTCCCATTGGCTTTTAGAGAGCAAGGACGGGAGGCGGAGAGACTGTGAGAGAGAGAGAGACACCGAAGGGTTGCCCCTACCACACCCCGACCAGGGCCGGGGACCTGCCATCGAGCTGGTCTTGGGAGACTCACAGATTGAGAGCCACTGCTGGAGAGATGAGACCGTCGGAAACACAGATATTTACATTACAATTCCTAACGGGAGCAAAATTATGAAGTAGCAATGAAAGTAATGTTATGGTTGGGGGTCACGACCACATGAGGAGCTGCATTAAAGGGTCGTGGCATTGCCGAAACCGGTGTGGCTCAGTGGTTAGAGCGGCGGTCTGCGGACTGAAAGGTCCCGGGTTCGATTCCGGTCAAGGGCATGTACACTGGTTGCGGGCACATCCCCATTGTAGGGTGTGCAGGAGGCAGCTGATCGATGATTCTCTCTCATCAATGTTTCTAGCTCTCTATCCCTCTCTCTTCCTCTCTGTACAAAATCAATAAAATATATTTAAAAAATAAAATAAATAAAGGGTCGCAGCATTAGGAAGGCTGAGAACGCTGCTCTATGACAGATCACCCCAGCGCGGGTGTCTCAGGGGACAACTCCCTGCTGGGGCCACAGGGTCGGACGGCTCTCCCAGCACAGCCTGGGGTTCGCCCGGAGGCAGAAACCACCGGTGCACACAGGGAGGCGGGAGCATGGCCGTGCCGTCCTGGTGCACCAGCTCGGGTCCGGAGCAGAAGCTCAGGACGAGCAGGGAGTCTGAGCTCCTCGCCAGCCCCGCCGTGAGCCCCCCGCGGGGACAGTCGTGTTTCCCGGACCCGCGCCCCGCCCGTGAGAAGGCAGCGCAGCCCGCGGCCGGGGAGGCGTGGCGCTCGCGGGCCGTGCTCCGGTGAGGGTTCGCGGGCTGACTTACTCTGGTCCGGAGCTCCGTGGACGCCCCGAACTGGAAGAGGAGCCGCACGACGTCGTCGTGGCCCTGCTGGGCGGCGAAGAACAGGGCGGTGGTGCCTGACTGGGGAGAGGGGCTGGTTTCATCGTTTTATTTTGTGAAAAACGTATCTTACTGATTCTTTACAGAGAGGAAGCGAGAGGGATAGAGAGCTTGAAACATCCATGAGAGAGAAACATCCATCAGCTGCCTCCTGCACACCTCCTGTTGGGGATGTGCCCTCAACTAAGGTACATGCCCTTGACTGGAATCGAACCTGGGACCGTTCAGTCCGCAGGCCGACGCTCCATCCACTGAGCCACACCGGCCGGGTGTCGTTTTACCCTGACCTACCTCTCTCTGGAGGTTGATGTCGGCGCCCTGGAGCACCAGCTCCCGCACGCAGGCGATGTGGCCGGCGTAGGAGGCGACCATGAGGAGCGAGGTGCCGCCCTGGAGGAGGGGAGACGGGAGTGAGCCGGGGCCGTCCTGTGGCCGAGGGAGGGCCGGCGAGGGGGCCCGGACCAGCCCCACCAGGCCCCTCCGAGTGCCCGTCCCGCCGTGCCGGCCTGGCTGAGCCAGACTCGGTGGGGAAAGCAACTGGGAGGCTGGTTTGCAGTTTAAAATCCGGCTCCGGCCATCTCCTCCAGGAACGCAGTCCCCAGCGGGCAGGGTCCCTGCGCCTGGAGGCAGCAGGAAGCGAGGACCTCAGGTTAGGTCCGCAATAAAGATCCTCAGCCCAGCTCTGCTGTCCATGCAGGAATCGGTCCAAGGTGCCCTGGTGTTCTGGGCTCCGTCTGTCTTCTCGGGTTAGGGGAGAGGACGGGCACGGCCATGAGACGAGTCTTTAGAGCAGCGGCTCTCGGCCCTCCCAACGCCGCGACCCTTTAACACGGCTCCTCATGCTGTGGTCACCCCCAGCCATGACATTATTTTTGTTGCTCCTGTTATGAATCGTAATGTTAATATCAGTGTTTTACCCAAAGGTTGAGAACTGCTAGCAGGGTCGCCTAAGACCGTCGGAAAACACAGGTATCTACATCATGATTCATAACAGGAGCAAAATTATCAATAGTTATGACGTAGCAATGAGAATGATGTCATGGCTGGGGGTCACCACACCAGGAGCAGCCGTACTAAAGGGCCCGGCCTCGGGAAGGTGAGAGCCGCCGCTCAGGGAGGGGGAGCCAGGAGCCGGCTCCAAGCCGACCTTTGTCCTGAGCCCCGTGTGAGGGGCAGGCGCCCGTGTTGCGGGCTTTCGGGGTGGCTCCCGGGTTCGGGCCTGGAGGGGCATCTGATGCAGACCCTCCCATCCAATGAGCCTTCTGTAACTGAACCCAGGTTTTTTCCAAGGGCTTGAACGGTGACCTGAACCACCGCCTCGGCCTGGCCGGGAACAGAGGGTCCATTGCAGCTGGGACACAGGAGGGACGTTTCATAAAACCATCTGCAAGGCTGCGCCCGGGGCGGGGGGGACGGAGGAGGGAGGGGATGGGACTGGGGGGCTGAAGGCATGAGGCCAGCCCCCCCCCCTGCTGCTGCTGCTGCCAGACGGAGCAGTGAGGGGGAGCCCTGGGCTCCCCAACATCCCTGTGCCCCCCTCGATGCCTGCCAATGCTCCCGGGGCCACACCCAGCGGGAAGCAGGGGGAAGTGTCCGGGCCAGCACACGGCTCAGGGCTGGGCGCCCGGGAGGCCCTGTGGGCGGAGCTGCAGCTCGAACCCAGACCCGCCCCCCACGGAGGCCCTGAGGGCACGGAGCCGCACGCCTCTCCCTGGTGCTGGGCGACCCCCATGCCCACGTGTGCCACAAAAGCTGGAAACGGCACATCCTGTTTTCAGGAAAACAATAAGGCTCCTCTGAAAAACACTTTTATTTAAGCCCTAAAATCAAAACATCTCTGCTGTCTGGACGCCCCCCCCCCCCCCCCACCCCGTGTGTGTCTCTCTCTCATTTAGGTCCTGCTCGCCCCAGACATGAAGCCCTCTGGGCAGAGAGGGTCGGCTGGGATGCCGCCAGGGCGGTGTCTGTTCTTAGTCCCTTTAATTGCCAATTAGTGTAGTGTGTTGGCATTCGCAAAGGTAATGAGAGGATGAGGGCCAGGGAGCTCCATTCTCCTCTCCCTCTCCCTCTCCCTCTCCCTCTCCCTCTCCCTCTCCCTCGGCCAGGGAGCTCCATTCTCCTCTCTCTTCTCCCCTCTCCCCCCTCCCCCTCCCCCCTCTCCCTCCCTCCCTCCCTCTCCCTCCCTCCCTCCCTCTCTCTCTCTCCCTCCCTCCCTCCCTCCCTCCCTCCCTCCCTCCCTCCCTCCTCCCTCCCTCTCTCTCTCCTTCTCTCTCTCTCTCTCTCTCTCTCTCTCTCTCTCTCTCTTGGCAGCCCGGGGAGCAGCTGGTTTGAATTCTGACTGCGCGCCCATCTCTGCCTGGATCGGCTCATTCCGACTCCGGAAGTGCCTCCCCTCGTGGCCTCCGCTCTGAGCCGGATAACTGCTCCGGGCAGCTCTACGCTGGTCCCCCGGCCCCCGCCCCCAGGCTTTGGACACGGACAAAGCGAGCACACGCGTGAGAGCAGCCAAGCCCGGGAGGGGACGTGTTGGGGGCGCCCCTGCCGGGGCCGGCGTGGGCGGCACGGTGCCGGGCCCGCTGCGTACGCTGTCCCTGCAGTCCACGTCCACACGCCCGCTGGTGAGCAGCAGCCGGAGCAGCACCAGGTCGCCCCTCCTCGCGGCCCAGAAGGCGGCGCTGGCGAGCGGCGTCTCCTTCTGCGGAACCGAACAGACAGGATCGCAGTCAGCACGGCCACGGGACACGCCGCCAGCACACGCCCTCCACAGGCGTGCCCCAGCCCGCGCGCGCTGACACACTGTGACGGAATACTCTGCTTCGTTTGTAAATACGTTCTTACCAGTGACCCGGTGCACGAAACTCCTGCACATTAAAAGGAGATTAATTAGAGAAAGTAACTTAGTATTGCTATTTGCCCTTTCTCTATAATAGGAGTGTCTGAGATGAAGGAAAATTAGTAAAATGTGTATGAAAACCTTCCTCCTGTCAGAGTCTGGGGCTCACCATGGAACCAAGAGTCAAGTCCCCGCCCACCCACATGCACCTCAAAATCACATGAGACCCAGACCCGGCCAGTCCCACCCTGTCAAGCCTGCCGGGCGGGGGTATAGCCTCAGGCCCCCTGGCCCGCACCAGGACAGGGGCATGGCCTGAGGTCCCCAGCCCAGACAGGGGCAATGGGCGTGCCTTGAGGTCCGCCATCAAGCACCGCTGGGGGGGCGTGGCCTCAGGTCCCCTGGCAGGGCACTGGTGCAGGGGGTGCAGCCTGAGGTCCCCTAGCCTGATGCCAGGACAGGGGGCGTGGCCTGAGGTCTCCTGTCAAGCCCCACGGGGGCGGGGGAGGGCGTAGCCTCAGGTCCCTGCTGACTGCTCATTAAGGCTCCTTGTGGGAACTTGGCCTCAGCTGTGGGTGCAGCCGTCTTTATGATGGAGTGATGGTCAATTAGCATATTCCCTCTTTGATAGGATTGATTTCTGAGAGGAAGGGAGGAGAGAGGGAGAGAGACATCAATGATGAGAGAATGGATCTGCTGCCTCCTGCACGCCTCACACTGGGGATCAAGTCTGCAACCGGCATGTGCCCTGACCAGCAATCGAACCCTGACCTCCTGGTTCAGAGGTCAGCGCTCACCACTGGACCATGCCGGCCAGGCTGGAACCCGGCTCCTGACTCCTCTGGAACGCTGTGGGCCGGGGCTGTGAGGAGGCGGGTTGTTGATCACACGGCACTATTAATACCGTGTCCCACCGAGGCCTGGCCTTCCTGCCGGGGCCTTTGTTCGAGTTTCCTTTTTGCCTGAAGTGAGCTCTGCTCCATCCTGATGGCTAAAGCTCTTGAAATGCCATTTCCTCCCCGAAATGCTCCCAAACTCTCTTCACCCCTTGGCTCAGAAAACCACGCCCGGCCCAGCCTCCCGAGGGCCTGCACTCCCGTCCTGCCCGCCCCGCCTCCCGAGGGCCTGTGCTCCCGTCCTGCCCGCCCCCGCCTCCCAGGGACTGTGCTCCCGTCCTGCCCGCCCCGCCTCCCAGGGCCTGTGCTCCCGTCCTGCCCGCCCCGCCTCCCAGGGCCTGTGCTCCCGTCCTGCCCGCCCCGCCTCCCGAGGGCCTGTGCTCCCGTCCTGCCCGCCTCCCAGGGCCTGTGCTCCCGTCCTGCCCCCCCGCCTCCCGAGGGCCTGTGCTCCCGTCCTGCCCGCCCCGCCTCCCAGGGACTGTGCTCCCGTCCTGCCCGCCCCGCCTCCCAGGGCCTGTGCTCCCGTCCTGCCCCGCCTCCCAGGGCCTGTGCTCCCGTCCTGCCCGCCCCGCCTCCCAGGGCCTGTGCTCCCGTCCTGCCCCCGCCTCCCAGGGCCTGTGCTCCCGTCCTGCCCGCCCCGGCAGCCGGGCGGCCTTTCGCCGGGAGCTGCCGGAGGTTCCGGCTGAGACCCAGGAGCTCGGGGCGGAAACCTCCGCTTGGTCCTCGTGGGTCCTTCAGGCTGCGTTGTTTTAAAGTTGCCTGGCCGGCGTGGCTCAGTGGTGAGCGTCAACCTCTGAACCAGGAGGTCACGGTTCGATGCCCGGGCAGGGCACATGCCTGGTTGCAGGCTTGATCCCCAGGGGGGCGGAGGGGGGGGTACAGGAGGCAGCCGGTCCATGATTCTTTCTCATGGATGTTTCTTTCTCTCTCACCCTCCTCCTTCCTCTCTGAAATCAATAAAAAATATATTAAATAAGTAAATAAATGATAAAGTTGCAAAGTTAATGCTGGCAGCGGGCCTCTGGGAGGAAGAGAGCCGGAGAACAGTCCCCGAGCGGGAGGGCGGAGCTGGCTGCCGTACAGCCGCCTCCTCCAAGCCAGGGACGTGGGTTTGGAGAGAAGGTGTGTGTGTGGGGGAGGGGGACAGCGGGAGGAGGGCAGGGGACCGACCCCCATGGGCCTCAAGCCCAGCCCTGCACTGGGACACGGGTGGCCTGATGGGGCTCGGTCCCTCCAGCTCAGACGGAGCCACGAGGCCGGCCCTGAGGTCTAACCTGCGGTGTGGACGGTGCTGTCACTGCAGCCCACACATCAGGAACACCTCCTTCTCTCGCTCCCGGTCCCCCTCCCCGCCCAGTGTGAGGGCCTCATTCCAGCACCTTCCGCAGACACCGCTGGCGCTCTCTGCATTCTCGGAGCAGAGCAGGCAGACCGGGGGCGATAAGCGGATTGCAAACATACTCGGAATAGCTTCCTGGCTCCGGAGGAGGAAAGACTCACTTCAGATTCCAGGTGAGAATTCCTTCCCCTGGAGGCGCCCTGTGACCGGCCCAGGCGTCTGCGGGGACTCCGGGGAGGTGTCCACGCCCAGGGCCGGGAGGTCCACGCCCAGGGCCGGGAGGTCCACGCCCAGGGCCGGGAGGTCCACGCCCAGGGCCGGGGAGTGTCCACGCCCAGGGCCGGGAGGTGTCCACGCCCAGGGCCGGGAGGTGTCCACGCCCAGGGCCGGGAGGTCCACGCCCAGGGCCGGGAGGTCCACGCCCAGGGCCGGGGAGTGTCCACGCCCAGGGCCGGGAGGTCCATGCCCAGGGCGGGGTGATGTCCACGCCCAGGGCCGGGGAGTGTCCACGCCCAGGGCCGGGGTGTCCACGCCCAGGGCGGGGGAGTGTCCACGCCCAGGACCGGGAGGTCCACGCCCAGGGCCGGGGTGATGTCCACGCCCAGGGCCGGGGAGTGTCCACGCCCAGGCCGGGAGTCCATGCCCAGGGCCGGGGTGATGTCCACGCCCAGGGCCGGGGAGTGTCCACGCCCAGGGCCGGGGTGTCCACGCCCAGGGCGGGGGAGTGTCCACGCCCAGGGCCGGGAGGTCCACGCCCAGGGCCGGGGTGATGTCCACGCCCAGGGCCGGGGTGATGTCCACGCCCAGGGCCGGGAGGTGTCCACGCCCAGGGCCGGGAGGTGTCCACGCCCAGGGCCGGGAGGTCCATGCCCAGGGCCGGGAGGTCCACGCCCAGGGCCGGGAGGTGTCCACGCCCAGGGCCAGGGAGTGTCCACGCCCAGGGCCGGGGAGTGTCCACGCCCAGGGCCGGGAGGTGTCCACACCCAGGGCCAGGGAGTGTCCACGCCCATGGCCGTGGCGCTGCCCCAGGCGGGTCCCATTAGAGCTGCTGTGAGCCGGCCGGTGTGCGTGGACCATAAGCCACCAAACAACGCCCTGTGATCGCAGGATCGATTGCGGAGGCGCCCACGCCCGGAGGGTGAGCAGGAAGAGCGTCGAGGAAGCCTGCAGGGCCCTGCCGGCTGGTCTCGGAGCCGGGACTCCACAGGCACACACGGCGGGGCCGGCCGGTGGTTCTGCCGCCTCACAGGCACCCTAAACCCTCTCCACATCTCGTCCCAGAACAGCCCCATCGAGCACACGCCGTTTCTAAGCTCACTGTGATGACTGAGCCCACGGTGATGACTGAGGCCAGACAGCTCGGAAGAAGAGGGTTAGAACCCACGTCTGCCTGAGTCCAGAGTCCGGGGTCTCCGATCTTACTACCCCGTGAGGAAGGCTGAACCCAGACCTCAGGGTGCCGTGTTCTCGTCCCTTCCCCCCGTTTATGGCCAGGATTTGGCTCCCGCAGGGCTCATGAGGGCACCTTCAGGAACTAAGCACAGGAAGGAAGGGAGAGGAAACGGGGGCTGGGGAGGAGCTGGGGAGAGAGGGGGGAGAATAATGGTTTTGGGGCAGAACTGGAATTCCGAGGAAAAGACAGAGATCAAAGCTCCGGGTTTGAAAAGGGGGTTAGAAGAGTGTGGGTTTCAGTTGTACCCCGTTAGGTCAACCAAGAGGACGTGAGCTCCGTTCCCCAATGTGTGACGGAGGCCACCTCAAACCAGCACCGAGGAGCGCCCAGGAGCGCCGCGCAGGAGGGCGCCCCGCGCAGGAGGGCGCACGTGTTACTGCTGCTCCACCGCACTCCCACGTGGTGCCCAGAGGGTTCAGGATATGCACTAGGCTTTGAAGGAGCCGCACCCTGTGCTCTCAGCGCTGCTTCGCTTTGTGGGAGACATCGGAGGAGAAGAAGGTGTTTGCCCCTGGCATCCTGCCTCAGAGGGGGCTTGTGTCACCCCAGCACCTCCAAATCTGAGCTGTAGGCCATGGCTGGTCTGTTCACAGTGACCAGAGCCGGCGAATCCAGAGCGCGCGGAAGCAGAGGAGCAGAACTAAGGCTGGGAAGTTCGGGGGATGGAGTGTGACTGCTGCTGGACTGGGGGCCAGTCCCAGCGTCCATACTGCAGGAGTGTCATCGGAAGGCAGGTGGGACTTGGGGACTCAACAAGGGCTGAGTCACATATGTAATCGGCTGTTGGAAATAGCTAAAGGCATTTCCCCAAACCTGAAAAGGATGATTGTTTGCTGCCAGACAGCCCAGGGCATCTCAATCTACAAGTTATTGCCAACTCCTGGACAAACACCTGAACAGAGGGAGGTAATTCCCCAATCTGACAATGGTCTCTGTAGACAAGATCCTACCCTTTGATGTGTATATCTCCACCTCACCTTAGAAGGATTTGTGTTAATAAATAGCAAGGGGTCCTGAGACAAGGAGAACTTGGTTTCTTTAGCCAAGCTCCTCTGCCCTCCATTACCCCCCCTCCTCCCTCCCATATGTCTTTCAAAATTATATTTCGTCGAAACCAGTTGGGCTCAGTGGATAGAGCGTCGGCCTGCAGACTGAAGGGTCCCATGTTTGATTCCGATCAAGGGCATGTACCTTGGTTTCGGGCACATCCCCAGTAGGGGGTGTGCAAGAGGCAGCTTATCGATGTTTCTAGCTCTCTATCCCTCTCTCTTCCTCTCTGTAAAAAATCAATAAAATATTTATTTTTTAAAAATTATGCTTTGTCCCTGGACTCTTATTTAATTTATTCACAACCCTGTCTCCGGGATTCCTGAACCTTCCAGATGGCGGATCAAGACCACCGATGATACTGCTGGGCATGCGACTTCTTAAGGGGGTGAAAACATCCTAAAATTAGCTGTGCTGATGGTGGCACAACTCTGGGACCATACTAAAACTGAAATGCACACTCTAATGCTTTTCTTATTGATTTCAGGAGGAGGAAGGGACAGGGAGAGACAGAAACATCAATGATGAGAACGATCAGAATCACTGATCAATCGGCTGCCTCCTGCACCTCTCCTGCTCCCTACAGGGAATCGAGCCCACAACCCGTGCATGTGCCCTGACCTGACCGGGAATCACAGAGACCTCCTGGCTCATCAGTCGATGCTCAACCACAGAGCCACCGCGGCCAGGAGGCAGCTCAGTCTTTTGGACGGTGAGTGATCCTGCTGTCCGGCCAGAGCAGCTGGTGGATGCATGTGTGCCCTCCCCCCACCAAGTCCTTACCCCCGGCGATGCACTGCGAGGTGGGCCTCCGCAGGCGATTCAGTTCACACTGGGCCCTGGCGGGGGAGCCCCAGGGCAGGGGTGGTGCCCGTAAGAGACACGAGAGCTTCCTCTCTCCCGTGGGAGGTGCTGGGCACCCCCTCCGGCCATGGGAGCTACGGGGACCCCTGAACGGCAGCCACGCGGACCAACTGAACACATCGCACTTCCCATCGCTTGCTGGGCCTCGGGCTGTCTGCACTGTGGAGCTGTTAGGAGGAACAGCTGTGAACGTTTGTGTGTGCGTTTTGGTGTGAACATATGTTCTCGTTTCTCTTGGGCTTATATCTGGGGCTGACATTGTGGGTCATGTGGCAGCTCCATGTCTGACTTTCTGAAGGACTGTACTGTGGCTGCATCATCTCCTCTTCCTACCAGCCATGTGTGAGGGTCCCGTTTCTCCACACCTCTGCCAACCACACCTGCCATTGCCTCATTGATTAGTCCTCCTAGGGCAGTGGTCAGCAAACTCATTAATCAGCAGAGCCAATTATCCACAGGACGATTGACATTTCTTCTGAGAGCCGAATTCTTTAAACTTAAACTTCTTCTAACGCCACTTCTTCAAAACAGACTCGCCCAGGCCGTGGTATTTTGTGGAAGAGCCACACTCAAGGGGCCAGAGAGCCGAATGTGGCTCGTGAGCCGCAGTTTGCCGACCACGGTTCTAGGCGGTGGGAAGGGGTATCTCACTGTGATTTTTAAAAAATATATATTTGTATTGATTTCAGAGAGGAAAGGAGAGGGAAAGAGAGACAGAAACATCAATGGTGAGAGAGAATCACCGATCCGCTGCCTCCTGCACACCCCACATTGGGGATGGAGCCTGCAACGTGGCATGTGCCCTGACTGGGAATAGAACCGTGACCTCCTGGCTCATAGGTCGAGGCTCCATCACTGAGACTCACTGTAATTATGACTGGCGTTTCCCTGACGACTAACAATGTTGAGCATCTTTTCAGGGGCTGATTGGCTATTTGCATATCCTCTTGGGAGAAGTCTGCATTCGTGTCCTCTGCCCATTTTAAATATATTTAATTGATTTTTTTTACGGAGAGGATAAGAGGATAGTTAGAAACATCGATGAGAGAGGATCATCGAGCAGCTGCCTCCTGCACACCCCCTACTGGGGATGTGCCTATAACCAATGTACATGTCCTTGACCGGAATCAAACTTGGGCCCTTCAGTCCGCAGACTGGCGCTCTATCCACTGAGCCAAACCGGTTTTGGCCCTCTGCCCATTTTAAAATCGGGTTGTCTTTTTATCGTCGAGACATCTATCATCACCTAAGGACTTTCAAATGCCTGCCACTTTCAAGCACACAGACGGGGCCACGTCTGATGCGTCTGCAGCCGCCGTGTCTGGCGGGTTCCTCAGGGCGTTCTCCTCACTCGTGGTTCCTCCACCTCTTCGCGCGGTTTCCGTCGGGCTCCCTCCCGAACCCACGGTCCCCCCGCTGCTCTCATCGCGGCCACCATGGGCTGTTTGGTTCCTAAATTCAGTGGCCGCCCTTCAGTCCTGAGCGCGGTTGCTTTCTCTGTGGTATTGAACTCCGAGTCCCTCTCCATGTTCATCCCACGGCTGGAGGTCCTTGGCTTACGTCCCGGCACACCTTCTGTATGTTCTCAGACATTTCGTCCAGCTGGCACCACTGAGTTTCCTTAATGGGCGTCTCATTTGCTGCTCATTCTTTTTTTAAATGCACATTTATATAATATTTATTGATTTCAGAGAGGAAGGAAGAGGAGAGACAGAAACATCCATGATGACAGAGAATCATGGATCAGCGGCCTCCTGCATGCCCCACACTGGGGATCAAGCCCACAACTTGGGCATGTGCCCTGGCTGGGAATCGAACCCTGACCTCCTGGTTCCTAGGTGGATGCTCAACCCCTGAGCCACGCCGGCTGGCCACGCTTAAGTCTTGATCTTCAAGACTGTGTCCTCAGACCCTCTTACTTTCCACCGTCACCCGGATTGCTGGGTGATGCCACTCATTCACAGGGTTCAGTACCACCCAACGCTGCTCCCTCCTCAGCCTCCTTCCCCCTCAGCCCACGCTGCCCTCGGGCTCCCAGCTTCCTCCGGGAGGAGCAGGTCTTCCTGACGCCCCTCGATCCCTAAGCTTACCCGTGCCACGTGGACGTCCGATCTTTACCTCCACGGCCGGCCCTAACTCTGCGCATAACATCCGCTACTGAGTTCTGCAGACTGAACGTTCGGAAGCCCCTCATCCTTCGACCTTGGACATCTGTGCGTTAGTGCCGGGCCATTTGACAAGGTGACCACAACATCCTCCGTGCGGCCTCCCAGCTCCACTCCCCACGCTGCAGCCAGGCACCTTCCCGAGGCCTGAACCTTGCCGGTGGGTCCTCGCTCCGGGAGCTGCGGCAGAACGTGGCCACGTGGCTCTGGAGCCGGACACACCAGGGGTCACTTCCTGCTGCAAGACTGAGAGCAGCTCATTAACTAGCTCACCAAGCTTTAGTTTTCTTGCTTCAGTTTGTTTGATTTATTTTTAAAGCCCAGTGAATAGAGCATCGGCCTGCGGACTGAAAGGTCCTGCGTTCCATTCCGGTCAAGGACATGTACCTTGGTTGTGGCACATCCCCAGTAGGGGTTGTGCAGGAGGCAGCTGATCGATGATTCTCTCTCATCGATGTTTCTAACTCTCTAGCCCTCTCTCTTCCTCTGTTAAAAATCAATAAAATATATAATTTTTAAAAAGAAGAACCAGGAAAGTACACTCTCTGGGTCTGTGGAGGGCTCCGGGCTGGCACATTGCAGCTGTTCAGACATCTTAGCGATTATTTCCACTAACCCTCTCACAGGGTCCCCGCTGCCTGGAAATGTGGGGGTGCGGGTGACCTCAATGAGCTCTGAGCTGCTCTCTGCGCTGGCCCCCCGCCTGGGCCCCAACCAGGCCTGGGAGGCAGCGGCGCGACCTGAGGACACAGACCGGTCTCCGCCCGCACCTGGTCCCTCCCCGTGTCCCTCCGATCCTCCCTCCCTCCTTCCATCCCTCCGATCCTCCCTCCCTCCTTCCATCCCTCCGATCCTCCGTCCCCCCTTCCATCCCTCCGATCCACTGTGCCTCCTTCCATCCCTCCGATGCTCCGTCCCTCCTTCCATCCCTCCGATCCCTTGTCCATCCTTCCATCCCTCCGATGCTCCGTCCCTCCTTCCATCCCTCCCATCCTCCCTCCCTCCTTCCATCCCTCCGATGCTCCGTCCCTCCTTCCATCCCTCCGATCCCTTGTCCATCCTTCCATCCCTCCGATGCTCCGTCCCTCCTTCCATCCCTCCGATCCCTTGTCCATCCTTCCATCCCTCCGATCCCTTGTCCATCCTTCCATCCCTCCGATGCTCCGTCCCTCCCCGAGCGCGGCCGCAGGAGGCGGGACCGGCTCCTCCCCGCGCGGCCGCCACCGGAGACCGCCCCGCCGCCGCCCGCCGCCTTCCCTTCCCCGCACCGACCCCGACCGCGGGCCCAGCGCCGCCGCCAAACCTCCGGGTCCGGAGCCGCCAGCTCCGCGTCCCCCGCCCCCGCCGGCTCCGGGCGGGGCGCACCTGCAGCGGCCTCGGGTGCGGGTCTGAGGCCCCGCGCCCCGCGCCCCGCGCCCCGCGCCCCCGCCCCGCCGCTCACCTTGAAGGACATCCTCCTCACGTGTCCCCGCGCCCGGGGTCCCCCGCACCGCGGACCGCCCGGCCCGGCGCCGCTGCTCCCGCCACCCGCCCGCCCCTCCGCCGTCCGCAGGCCAGGCCTCCCGCACCGCCGCTCCCGCAGCCGCCGCCGCAGACAGGGCGGGGCGGGAGGGGGAGGGGCGGGAGGGCAGAGCGGGGCGGGGCGAGGTGGGTGCCTGGGGGGCAGGAGAGGGTGGGGTGGGACCGGGCGAGGCAGAGGTGCTGGGAGCTGCATACGCCCTCCAGGTCCCTTGCCACTCACACTCCTCCATGCTCACGGGCTCACACGCAGGCATCACTCCACACCCACACCCTCCCCTGCACCACTCAACCCACACACACCCTCCAAATGGCACTCCACCCTCGCACCCCCCCCCCCCGTCCCCGCACACAGCGCTGTGCACACACCTGCACCCTCACACACTCATACACCACACACACACACACCCTCCAAACTGCACCCCACACCGGCGCACACACCCCCACACATAGCGCTGTGCACACACCTGCACCCTCACACACTCATACACCACACACACACACACCCTCCAAACTGCACCCCACACCGGCGCACACACCCCCACACATAGCGCTGTGCACACACCTGCACCCTCACACACTCATACACCACACACACACACACCCTCCAAACTGCACCCCACACCCGCACACTCCCCCGACTCACACACAGCGCTGTGCACACACCTGCACCCTCACACACTCATACACCTACCCACACGCACACCCTCCACACCCCACACGAATGTACAGCCTCCACATCCCCACATGCAGGTTCACACACGATACTTCCCACACACACACACCCCTCCCACACACACTCTTACACACACACACACACACACACACACACTCACACACACACACACACACACACACACTCACTCACACATTCTCACACACACTCCACACACACTCCCACCCCCCACACACACACTCACATACACATACACACTCTTCTACCCCCCACCCCCACACTCCCACACCCACCTCCTCCAAAGAGCAGGGAGCAGCGGGCGCCCAGCCCTCACCAGAGCCGGGAATGAGGAGGATGGCAATGGAACAGGAGACCATTCACTCACCACCCACCACCCTTCTCATCGCTTGTCATTTTATTCCTTCCTTCCAGGTGTCCCTTTCTCTCTGCTCCTTTTCTTTTCTCAGAACCCGCTGTTTCATTCCCTCCTGGGGAGACGCAGGAGGAAACAAGCCTTTGGTGGAAGCAGTAATGAGTGGCCTTTCCTTTTCTGCAGGCGAGGGCACAGTTGAAATATACTCATAGCTCCTTTTTATTTATTTATTAATTACTTTTAAGAAACATTTTTATTATTGATTTCAGAGAGGAAGGGAGGGAGGGGGACATCCATGATGAGAATCATTGATGGGCTGCCTCCTGCTCGCCCCACACTGGGGATGGAGCCTACAACCCAGGCCTTTGCCCTGATGGGAATCGAACTGTGACCTCCTGGTTCCTAGGTTGATGCTCAACCTCTGAGCCATGCCGGGCAGGCTCATAGCTCCTGTTGGTTACACCTGTCACCTGTGCGCCTGTGCTGCACACCTGGAGTACCGTGGAGCCGTGCACGCCCTCGCCCGCGGCTTGCTGCCTGCCCAGGGGTGGTTTAGGCCGTAAGGTGACCAGACATTCCGCTTTTGGCGGGACAGCTCCGATGTTTAACAATTTGTCCCGTGTCCCGCGGCGTTTTAAAACAGCCCAAATTGTTAAAAATCAGGACTGTCCCGCCGAAAGCAGGACGTCTGGTCACCTTACCCAGCCCTCCCCCGCTGGGGCTCCCGGGGAGACCCTCCCTGTGTCTGTGCCCCGGCCCTGCCTTCGCTCCCCTGGGCTCCTGGGCAGTGCCGTGCAGGGGGCCACCAGGCGGGCTGCTGGGTGGGAAGCACAGGCCACGTGGCTAGGGACTCCCCGCCGCCTGGCCCAGGATGGTGCAGGGCCCCCCCAAGCCTCACCCCCAGCCTTCCCCCTCCTGAGTCCAGCCTGGGCCTCTGCTTCCTGGAGCACCTGGGTTGACAGGAGCCAGCAGCTGGGTTGTGGTGCCCATTTTCTAGATGCCAACACTGAGGCTCAGAGAGGGTAGCAGAGGACCTTACCCCCAGCACACCTTCCCCTCCACTCAGCCCAGCTCACAGGTGTTCCCCCAGTGGCCCCCTGGTTGCCATGGTGTCAGAAGGAGGGGGGAGGAGGGGATTTCTGAGAAGCAATCCAAAAATACACAGCAGCGGGCCCTCCTTCCTCATCCCTCTCTCCAGCTCCACAGCCTCCTTTGGGGCAGGGGGTGGGGCCTCTTCCTGGCCAGGCAGCCAGGAGAGGAGTTCCAGGAGGCAGAGGGTCCCGGTATGGGTTCTGGCAGGACAGCAGATATCCTGGATCTGGGCCCCATCGCCCTCCCACAGCTCCAGACCAGGCGGCTCTTTCCTGCCTCCCTGCCTTCGCACATGCAGTTCCTCCACCTCCAGTGCCCTTCCTCGTCCTTCAGGGCCCAGCTCCGTTGTAGCTCCACTGGAGAGCCTTCCCCAAGTCACTTGGGGCTCCCCGAATCCTGCACCCACTCCAGTCACCACCGTTTTCTGGGTGATGCTCTCACGGGGCGGTGAGGTCTTGGGTGTGAGCTTTGCCTTTGTGCCCCAGCCCCTGGCAGAGACGGGTGCTGAGTAAATCCCGAAGGAGGGGAAGGAGGGAGGGAGCAGAGAAACACCTCTCAGGATTGGAGGGGATCTGGACCGTGAGCCCCTGGCACAGGGCTGAGCACAGAGCCAAACCCACTCCCTTCCTGCCGCCTCCATCTGAGCCTGGGCCCCAGCACGGTCTGCCTCCTCCCATTTGGAGCCAGCTCAGGGGTCAGGGGTCATCTCCATGCCCATGGGCCTGTGTCTGTTGCCCATTTGGATGCGAGGTAATGACACCAGGAGGCAGATGGGCACTTGGCTTCATAGGAGCTGGTGTGTTAGGGAGAGAGGCCTCCATTCCCGGAATCCTGAAATCCCAAAGTCCTGTGCAAGGGCCTGAGGGCTGACCTTGAGCAGAGTTTTCACCCGGAATACTTTCTGCAAATGCCTCACCTGAGCCCAATACATAAACCAGGTGGAAGCGAAGCTGCTGGGGGTGAAGTGATGAGTGTTGAAGGCGCCTGGGAGATGGGACCAGAGTCCCCTTTCCCTGTGGCTCTGGGTCCCGGGAGATGGAGGCTGGGTTGGTCCTGGCGGTGGGAGGGGGCAGCCAGGGAGGGGGAGCCTGGGCAGAGTCCAGGGCTGACATTTACTAACGTACAGAGGGCTTCAGTATGAACTGTGTCCGTGTCCGTGTGGCTGGGCCAACGGCCGCCTCTTCCACAGCCAGAAGTCAGTCTGTGCACAGAAATGAAAATACGTCCTTGGGGAAAATCGTAATGACTTCAACCGTTACCGTTCTCACAGCTTCTTTTTCTTCTTCTTCTTTTTTTTAACCTTGAAGGGATATTTTAGGGGAAGTATCTCTTGTCTAGAGGAAACTTTTATATGAATTGAGCAATTCCATCAACTTTTCTTTCTTTTTCTTTTGTGAAATTCAAGTAAAATTAAATTTCAAATTGTATCTGAAAAATAATGAAAATAAAATAATTTTAAAGTAAAGACTTCCGAAATGTGATATAAATTTTCAATTTTTAAACCAAGAAAGGCTCAACAGGCTTTCCTTGCCTTGAGTGTCTCCGGAGAGACAGTTTGGACGTGGCCACACTCCATTAGAGGAGATGGAGCACTGGGGGTTTGCTGTAATAGTTTTGATAAACAAGAAGAAAGGAAAGCATTAACATTTTGAGTGCCAGGTGCCTTCCTTATAAAGATCAGGTGAGGTGGTTTACGCCCATCCCACAGGTAAGGCAAAGGTCCTGAGAGAGGAAGTGAAGGAATTGGCTGACGAGTGAATTAATTAATTAGCCCTCTTATTAAGTCTGTCTGGCTTCAGAGCCAGTCCCTCTGCACTCCCCATACCCACGCCGAGCGCTCAAAGTGGGTTTTGGCGGGTGTCTGGCCGAGCTGCTGCTGGGGTCACCGTCAGAGTCACGGGATGGAATCTGGCCTGCACCCCACCCCACCCCACGCACCAGGCCAACCTCATCGTCATTAAAAAAAAAAAAAGCCCCAGAGGAACAGAGTTCTCCTGGTTACAGGCAGGAGGAGGAAGGAAGCACTAGCCACTCGTTGCAAGCGCTTGCTATGCTGCATCCACTCCGCAGGGTCTCGGTTGCAATCGTGTGCGGCAGCAGTCTGCAAACTCATGAGTCCACAGAGCCAAATAACAACAGCACAACAACTGAAATCTCTTTGGAGAGCCACATTTTTTAAACTCAAACTTCTTCTAACGCCACTTCTTCAACATAGACTCGCCCAGCCGTGGTATTTTGTGGAAGAGCCACACTCAAGGGGCCAAAGAGCCACGGTTTGCCAACCACGGGTGTATGGTAAAGACTGCTGTAACTCCGTTGTGTCCTCTGATGCCCAAATCTATTTCTTCAGGGATCCCTTCTTGACAGTATGTTCTTCTTCACTGTACCTTCTGAAAAGAGTGTTCTTAGAATTGCATTTGCTAAACTTTTTCTATTGTTCATTGAACAACTGTTTACAGATGTGGGTGCTCTGCGCCCGCTTGCAAAGTCTCTGTCTCTCTCTGTGTGTGTCTCTCTTTCTCTTTCTCTCTCCTTCTGGGTAGGCCATTCCAGTGTGCCCCAGGAGCACCCTGGTCCATGGAGTCAGGGTTCTGGCGTGGCTTTGTGTACAGGTTGCCCTGGGACCCAGCAGAGGGACCCCCTTTCAGGGAGCCACCCTGGCACAGAGGAACTTCACAGAATGTTCCGCTGCCCCCCACGCGGCCCACAGCCACCCTGGCCTCTTCTGCGCCTTGCTTTCAGTACACGCCAATAATTTGCTTTTATTATCCATCCTAGTGAGTGAACACAATGCCAGCTGCCTTTCATTTCTGCCGTCAGGGTCAG